CATTCCTTTTTAAAATTTACAACTTGTAAGTGGGAAGTTCCCATTTCCCATTACAACTGGGTCGAGGCAACATTAGCTGGTGAAAATACTGCAAAATTGAGATTTTATGCAATGAATTTTGTCAACTGCTACTGGCTACCAGTTTATTTTGAATATTGCACAACTCCACGTAGTGGTCGGATGGCCTCATTTTCCATGTAAAATAATCAACATGCATAATGAGAGACGTAGTATTATGAGCAGTACTTGCTTTGAACCAGCATATGTTTAGTTTAAAGACATYAATACCAATCACCGGCCACATRAATTGCTGTGAMAGGCCACATTTTGCCCACGGGCCTTGAGTTTGACTCATGCATTCTATGGTGAGCTGTATGTTTCTGCAAGAAATTAAGCTATTAAGTTTGATTTTTTTTATTTCTTACAGTGGCTCACTCATGTGGTAACCCATGATGTCTGATRAGTAACTTGGACATTTGTGGACAAACAATTCATATAGTACAGTTTTGTTTATTTTGTTATATTTCTCAGGCTTGTCAAAAATACAGTTTGGGTTTGTAGAGAGGGGCAAAACATTTGATCATCTGTTGGTTGGTTAATTGAGGTGGAGAGGATTGTCAGGTGGTGGGTGTTGATTTTGTTTTGTTTGTGTGTGGTTCTCAGGCCACTCTATTAAGAGCAGAAGCCTTCCAAAGCCTTAAATGGAAAGGCTGATTGTGGGATGTTGCATTTCCACCTAGGGGTGATTGTGTTTGTTTTAACATGTTTAAGAAGAGATCTAAAAACAAATGCATGTAATCTGTCAATTTGAGGACATCTTTGTTTTGTTTAAAGATTTGGATATTGGTAAATATTACGGGAAAGTTTGATTATTTGTAATTTGTAATTGTGAAGGAAAATCAATTAATGGTGTTTTTTTTTCTTGCAGGATGAGCTCCCAGTATAAAGCTTGGGGAGGAAGTGTGTTTAATTGTGAGGATTGTGTAGTTTGAGCTCAGTAGGCACAGAACGTATAAGCCCCATAGCCAGGGGCCAAGTGTGGTCTGTTATATTCTGTTTACAGTTTAATTAAAGTATGTTGTCGTAGACAATGGGATATAGTAATTTTTCACATTTTTGAGAAGTTTTGTAATTTTTATTTTTTACATTCCACTGCACCATGCCCTTTTGCTTACTGAGTAGTGGAAAAAGAAAAGAAAAATAAAAAGGAAAAAAATACCACACCACCAGCTGAAGTCTGACTTCCTGGATCCTTCAAATATTTGGCCAAATCTCACACTCACCTCTTCAGTSTTCTTTTAGTGTTTTGTGCTCCTTTCAATCAAAACCCCTTCACAATAAAAGCTTCAACTTTTTGTGTGTACAGTTGTACAAAACTAAGAGGAAGTGACAGTTGTCACAGAGCATCTTACATTAAAGACAGAAAAGAAGATCAGTTTGACAGTTTAGATAAAGCTTCTGTGTCACATGGAGTTAATGGATATAGCGTTTGCTTTGTATCTGCATATCACAAAATAAACATGTTGCTTGTGTCTGTGGGAAGTTTGCTCAAAATGTTTTTTTAATTATTATTTTCAGACTGCAGCTTTTACCTGTGACATCGTTTACTGTCCTCCACATTTCTCCATGTTCAAGGTTTGTCTTCTTCATCTTCACCTGGAGGTAAATGGTAATTGGTGATATGAACTCACTTTCACATGCCCCCCCCCCCCCCCCCCCCACACACACACACACACACACAAATACAGTTGTTTTTATGCGGACTGTGAGTTGACTTCCATTCATTTTCTGGTAATTTTATAGCCTAATCCTGACCATTTACCCTAAAATTAACCCTAAAATTAACATCACAGGTACCTATCTGACCCTAAAACTAACCTAAACTCAATTCACACCTTGGTCCTAAACTTAACCCCCCACCAAAAATCTTTTGATTCAGGTTAGAGTTAGCCATAGACCATTAATGGTTAGTTTTAGTAAAAATGAATGGGTTAGGTATAAACACAGTTATGAAAATGAATGCAAATCAATACAAATTCCTCAGTTTGATGCAAGTACACACACACACACACACACACACACACACACACATTAGGATTCTTTTTCCAGCTGCTCTGATATTTGAACCCTTCTCAGATGAAGATAAAGAGAGAAGCTACAAGAAACAGCCAGGTGAATATGTGTAGATTTCCAGTCATTAAATAAGTTTTATAAGATAAATGAATAGGAATGAAAACATAACTTCCTCACATCATCAGATAAAAATGAAGAACCGAGGACCAGCGAGTGATCATCAGTAAATACATTTGGTTTAAATTTAAAAAATGCAAATAGTGCTGGAACATGTGAAAATAATCCCAAAGTTAGTCAACATGAGGAATTTTGAAAACTGAAAATGTTTGTAACATCTGGTGGTTGTTTCAGTGAAGTCATTTAAAAACACAAACCTGTTTAAACATCACTAGACAGTTGGATGCATTTTACTTGAACAAACTTAACCAAGAAATCTAAATTGCTTTTTTGTATTCATATAAACCGCTCTGTGATGCTCATTTTGTATATTAAACAGTAGCATGTAAACAATACAAATTCTAATCAAATTGCTTTACAAGCTGAACAAACTGATGAGGGCCTGTTGTTTCACACTTCTCTTTTTTTGAGGAAAATTTAACTAAAGTGATGTTCATTATCTGTGAAAATGCTGTGAGTGCTGGGTGCTAAATGAGTTCACTATGTGTGGGGAAAAAACAACAAAAAAGATTTGTTAAAGTTAAAAAAGCAGAAATGAAACACAACAAAAGCTAAAACCAGCAAAACAGTAATCAAAAAAGTGTCAGGATCTGTGTGTCATAGTCAGTTATTTCTTTCTTAGAGTTTATCTTTTAGATTGATTCTTTTCATGTTCTGGGTTGTTTGGGTTGTTTTGTTGTCAGGATTATAAATCCCCTGTGTTCACATTTTGATCGGTCTTGTTTCTCTTTTGTACTTCCTTTTGTCATTAGTTCTGTTTCTCCTCTGTTGGTTCCTGCTCCTGCCCCGCCCACTCTCACCTGATCCTCGTTGTCTCTGCCCAGGTGTGACTTCTCCCTCGTTAGTGTTCCTGCATGTTGTTGTTAGCTCTCTGTTCATTGTGTTTCCATACCTGTCATGTTTGTCCTCAGGGGATTTTTCCTTTGTAAGTAATCTAAGTTCATGTTAACTTGTTTTTTTTATTTTATTTTAAATTTATCAGTTGCTCTTGTTACATACAAGATCTTTAAATCATGTCTGCATTTTGGTTCCAATAGAGTAAAACAGTAGCTAAATCCTAGTGACTAAAATAAAAAAATGCATGGGTTTGAAGAGCTCTCAATGCATTTTTATAAGAAAAAATATTAATAAAGAAAAATCTAAAAGCACAAGTCATAGCAGTAATCTCCTGAACAATATTTGAACAGCTGAAAGCATGCTAAAGCAGATAAGTCCAAACAATACAGAGAAGAAATGACAAACAGGAAAACAATCATGCAATGATAAAGTTTTACAGTGTTTTCAATAAAGACCTGACTCCACGTTAAAAATTATAGTTAATTTTCTGCTCACGTGTTCTATATTTCTCTGATCAAAATGCACTCTGCATAAATATGCTGTTAACTCAGAGCTGTGATTAATATTCACAGTTYGTGAGTCCCTGGACGGACATTTGCAGAGTAAAATATGCCTTTAGGTTGCTGCCTTGAATAAAAAAAAAAAAACTAACAAACTCCACACTTATTTGTAGTGGTCAGAGAGCTCACAACGTCTCTGTTTGACCAGATCGCTTTGTGGTGATGTCATGCGATGTGACAGGAAGTGACTCAATGCAATGGGACGTGYTGTGGCGTTAGGTGACATGATGCTTCAGGATGTGATGCATCATCTCCTGAGAGACCAGCCATAACATTAAGACCACCAGGGATCGACACAGACCTGTTGGTGTTGGGTCACAATTTGTTGATCTCCGGGCTTGAGGCTGCCACTGCTCTGTGGTTTGGTTGTGAATTTGAGAGGTGATAACATCTCTTTTTGTTTAATATTATAATTTTACAAAATTGTGCTCATGGTGCTGCTTTCAGGTGATGGTTGCTACATCAACAGATGTGTTCAGGTGGGTAATACGTGTTAAATTCATTTCTGTGTTGATGACAAGAACTGCAACGTTTTAGAACAATAAATAAAAGTTGATCAGCATTATTTTATTCAACGGAAGCAAAATAATCCATATGTACATTGGCAGGAGTGGCACCAACTCTGCTATCCAAACTGAATTAAAAAAGCAAATTATTCATCTTTAACACACTGGATACCTGGTTTTGCATCCTTTGTTCTGCCTGTTTATTACTTAATCTGCACCCTCAGAAGTACAAACCCAGAYGCAGCACATAGTCAGCAAATATTCCCTTTTTCAACTGCGCTCTCGAGACCTTAATTATTCACAACTTATGAATAACGCACTKTACTTCAAGTTGCCAAGTGGGGGTATTTTTGCACATAGTGCCTTAAATTAGTTATAACTTCACAATGGGAAAAACATGCAGTTTTCATTGCTTCAGCTTTTCTTTTTTTTTCTTTTGTAGGTTATTCCAGTGCCATAATAATTATTTTGCTGCAAATATGTTTTGAGTTTTCAAAATGAACCTGTTTAAATCATCCATTTTTGCACTTATTCCTTTCCAGGATGCGGTAACCCGTTTAATTAGGTTTGAAATGAGTCAGTGGAACTGAAATGACACAGGAGGGATTAAAGTCCCTGTTAAACTGATCTAAAATTTCTGGATCACTGCTTTTTCAAGCACAATGTCAACACTTTTTCTCTCAGAAAKAAATGTACGTATACAGTTGGACTGCTCTTGCTGGTATTTACCAGGTAAAACACAATGACAAAGTGATGTTCTACCAGAAGTTTGTYGCAATGTCAGCTTAATAAACAACCAGCAGGCTGCTTCTCTTATTCATAATTCTGTGTGATTTTTCCTGAGCCAGATCATTTTAAAGCGTGGATACAGGCTGTGAAGTGGAGCTATCATCTACCACCATATTTACAAAGATGGTTTCAAGCTGAACTGCAGGAATCAGTGAGACGTCAACACACCATTCCACCTTATCTGGATGCAAAAACAAGAACAGAGTTTTATTTGGAGTGGATCAATGCGGTTATTTGAGAGAAGCCATGTGGTAAATCAACATTTTACCAACGTTTTTTAGGTAACGTTTTTGTTTCTTTTCAGCTCTTAGTGTTTTCTTAATTTTGACTTAGCTTCTGTTCTGCTTCTTCTAGCCTTAACAGCATTCGGCACTCAGCATTTGCACTGCATTTTTGAAAAAGAAAAGAAAAAAACTTTGTTCTTCATTACATCCTCGTTGCAAAACATCTGAATSTGTTGTTAAGGCAGGAAACAAAAAGAATGATGCAACCTGAATCAAATAATCCGCATTGAGGTGTGTGTTTCAGCACATCGGACAGCAGCAAAGACGTCTCTCTCTCKCTGTCCATGGTGCTGAAACTAACCAAACTGCATGGACAGTGCGCGTGTCTGCAGTTATGCCCTCAGAACTTCAAAACACTCCACCACCCCCCCAGCTGATTGTCCTTCTAGATTAGATTACATGCAACACACACACACGCACGCATCACTCTGTCTGTTCCTCCTGCGTCTGGAGCAGAGCCGACYCCACTTCCTGCGCGCAGTCCCCACGATGTGCGGCTGCAGGTTTGTCTCGTCACGTGCAGAGGTGCACGACCMCCCGGCACGGTCTTCCAGCGAACTGAGAGTCAACTCAAGGCGCGAGCCTGCTCCACCTCGCCTGTCCGATCTCATGGAGACGTTAAACGCAGTTCATGATCCACCATACCTCACCTCCCTGCGCGCGCGCGCCCACTTCATGGCACAAATTTATTTCTTTCTTTCTTTCTTTCTTTATTTTTTGGTGCTTCGGATCATAGTTCTGCTGTGAGCTAGTTGCAGTAATGTAGCTGAAGCACGGCTCATCAGATGCTGAACCCCCTCCCTCCAGCAAAAAATAAGAAGGGGTGAGGAGGGGGTGAGGTGCAACAGAGAAACGCACGAAGCCGGCTCCTCTTCCTCTCTGGAGGCAGAAAGGAGGAATATTCAGGATAATTAGTTCGGTTCGTTTAATAGGCGAGTGGAAACATTTTCTACGAGGGGCTAAATAAATGACCCCCCCCCCCCCCCACACACACACACACACACAAATACAGTTGTTTTTATGCGGACTGTGAGTTGACTTCCATTCATTTTCTGGTAATTTTATAGCCTAATCCTGACCATTTACCCTAAAATTAACCCTAAAATTAACATCACAGGTACCTATCTGACCCTAAAACTAACCTAAACTCAATTCACACCTTGGTCCTAAACTTAACCCCCCACCAAAAATCTTTTGATTCAGGTTAGAGTTAGCCATAGACCATTAATGGTTAGTTTTAGTAAAAATGAATGGGTTAGGTATAAACACAGTTATGAAAATGAATGCAAATCAATACAAATTCCTCAGTTTGATGCAAGTACACACACACACACACACACACACACACACACACATTAGGATTCTTTTTCCAGCTGCTCTGATATTTGAACCCTTCTCAGATGAAGATAAAGAGAGAAGCTACAAGAAACAGCCAGGTGAATATGTGTAGATTTCCAGTCATTAAATAAGTTTTATAAGATAAATGAATAGGAATGAAAACATAACTTCCTCACATCATCAGATAAAAATGAAGAACCGAGGACCAGCGAGTGATCATCAGTAAATACATTTGGTTTAAATTTAAAAAATGCAAATAGTGCTGGAACATGTGAAAATAATCCCAAAGTTAGTCAACATGAGGAATTTTGAAAACTGAAAATGTTTGTAACATCTGGTGGTTGTTTCAGTGAAGTCATTTAAAAACACAAACCTGTTTAAACATCACTAGACAGTTGGATGCATTTTACTTGAACAAACTTAACCAAGAAATCTAAATTGCTTTTTTGTATTCATATAAACCGCTCTGTGATGCTCATTTTGTATATTAAACAGTAGCATGTAAACAATACAAATTCTAATCAAATTGCTTTACAAGCTGAACAAACTGATGAGGGCCTGTTGTTTCACACTTCTCTTTTTTTGAGGAAAATTTAACTAAAGTGATGTTCATTATCTGTGAAAATGCTGTGAGTGCTGGGTGCTAAATGAGTTCACTATGTGTGGGGAAAAAACAACAAAAAAGATTTGTTAAAGTTAAAAAAGCAGAAATGAAACACAACAAAAGCTAAAACCAGCAAAACAGTAATCAAAAAAGTGTCAGGATCTGTGTGTCATAGTCAGTTATTTCTTTCTTAGAGTTTATCTTTTAGATTGATTCTTTTCATGTTCTGGGTTGTTTGGGTTGTTTTGTTGTCAGGATTATAAATCCCCTGTGTTCACATTTTGATCGGTCTTGTTTCTCTTTTGTACTTCCTTTTGTCATTAGTTCTGTTTCTCCTCTGTTGGTTCCTGCTCCTGCCCCGCCCACTCTCACCTGATCCTCGTTGTCTCTGCCCAGGTGTGACTTCTCCCTCGTTAGTGTTCCTGCATGTTGTTGTTAGCTCTCTGTTCATTGTGTTTCCATACCTGTCATGTTTGTCCTCAGGGGATTTTTCCTTTGTAAGTAATCTAAGTTCATGTTAACTTGTTTTTTTTTATTTTATTTTAAATTTATCAGTTGCTCTTGTTACATACAAGATCTTTAAATCATGTCTGCATTTTGGTTCCAATAGAGTAAAACAGTAGCTAAATCCTAGTGACTAAAATAAAAAAATGCATGGGTTTGAAGAGCTCTCAATGCATTTTTATAAGAAAAAATATTAATAAAGAAAAATCTAAAAGCACAAGTCATAGCAGTAATCTCCTGAACAATATTTGAACAGCTGAAAGCATGCTAAAGCAGATAAGTCCAAACAATACAGAGNGAAAGGAGGAATATTCAGGATAATTAGTTCGGTTCGTTTAATAGGCGAGTGGAAACATTTTCTACGAGGGGCTAAATAAATGACCCCCCCCCCCCACACACACACACACACACACACACACACACACACACACACACACACACACACACACACACACACACACACACCTTCTCTCTCAATCTCTCCACTCTCTCTCTCTCTCTCTCTCTCTCTCCCCCCCTTTAGGTTCTGATGCGCCACAGCGTGTTCATACAGCCTGGAACAGGCAGCAAGAAAAGATCCACTTTTCCAAATATCTGACTCTTGGGAGAAGAACACAGTTTGAGACATTCATTTGTTTTGTCCCCCTCCCGCTCTTGGCAGCAGCCCCCCCTTCCTCAGATATTGTGTCTGCATGCGGAGCCGGGTGGAACAGATGCGCCCCTCCGTCGCTTGGAACTCCGCTGGGAGGAAGTCTGGGCGCATGATGGAGTGAAGGCGATACTCTCCTGGAAATTGTTCCGTCTCAGCCTGCGGGGATTTAACTGTTGCTGCTTTTTTTCCCCCTTCTTCTTCTAAAAAACTTGCATATTCGTGTTTTTTTTTATTTTTAAATTTTGCTTACAGCATTTTGGGAATACCGATATGATCGACATGGGAAAATATGGCAAAATTCCCCTGCGACCTGCAGCGAAGATTTGGACATGTTGTTAAAAGATTTTTTTTGGCTTTGACATTTTTTTTCTTTGCAGTGTGCTCAGTCAACGTGACCATGCTTAAAAAGTCTTCCCAAATTCCTTTGCGCATATGGCTTAAATTAGAACTCTGATTATTGATTTTCTTTTGTTTGCTCAAAAAACACCAATTGAAGAGCTAAACTCACATGTTTCATTATCACTATTATTATTCTTTTATATGTACAAAAATGTGAGTTCATCGGGAACCAGTGCGCACCAATACCGCCAGTTTTTTATTTATTTATTTATTTCCGACGGGCAACGCGGGATTTGGACCGCAACGTTCTCCCCCCGTCTTTCCCCTCCTGCCTCGCAGAAAACCGTCCGTGTGCTCCGACTCCATGAAGTGGATACTGGTTCTCCATGGTGCCCACCGGCCAGGTGTGTGAGAGCGGCAGAAACCTGAGCTCTTCGGTTCTGTAGATTCTGGACACACCTTTTTTAATGCCAGTCAAGGTAAGTCTACCCCACTCCAAGTGTTGCTTCTGTTATCAGTGTTCTTTTTCTGCAGAAATATGCCCTTTTGAAAATGTATTTTTTTTAAATTTACTGCTAAATTTAGGTTAAAAAAACAAAGTTGTCATTAAAATCAATTTGGCATTGCTGCTCATCTACATGAAATTCCTCAGATAATTTGGGTATTTTTTTTAAAAAGGGGGCAAATATTCTCTCTGCATGACTCGAGTCTTTGCGTTTTTTTTTTTCACTAAAAGTTGCTTGGAGCCTTTAAAATGATGTTTGTTGGGCCATTATTCTACCCAAAACTGTCAATATAAGATGCTTGTCTGTACTGAATTGTAAGGGCCACACAAAAGTGTATTTTGGGTTTATATATATGTATTTAATTTTTTAATGTTGTCACTTTGGAGATGTCTGATCAGGAAGCTYATAGTATTAACACACCGCTCAGGCTTGTGAATGTTTGTTACAGGAAGAAGGTTTCTTAAAGTACATGAACAAAAAAGGATGCAGTGCACAGTGCAGTATTTGTGTGGCAYTTCTTCATTAGTCAAAGCAAATATAATTTGGTTGTTTTTAATAATTTCTAAAGTAAACAACCTTTGCATTATTTCAAAAGACAGTTTACACAAAGTTTGAACTACAWACACAATACGAAGGAAAAAAAACCACTCTTAAAACTCATTGTTCTTATTCGCCATGGCAGAGTTGTGAATGATTCGGTTCCTTAGCTGGCATTTGTTTTAAATGAACTTTGACCTCCATGAACACAGCGTCAGTRAGCAAGTTCACATATATCAGCCTCACCACACTCCCCGGCCTCACCTTCGCTTGTAGTGAAATTTATTCTGCAGAGGTGTTTAACCTGAGGCTGTTTGAAGAAGCCTGGCTGCAGCCTGCGTCTAAAGCTGAAATACAGCCCGGATGTTTGCTGACAGGATGAAAGAAAAACACAGTTGACTTTAAAATGGTTCAGGATGGTTTTTTTTTTTTTGGCCAAATTAAAGAAAAGAAAAACATTTTGTGTACTAAAAACCTTGCACACCTTTACAAAGTTAAACTAAAATAATGTTATACTTGTTGGGGTCATAATGGTGAACCATACAATATCATGTGATAATCTCAAAATTTGTAACATTGTGCTCAGTGCATGCATTGAGGATGACAATAAGCTACTACCACACCAGGATTTATCTCAATATCTGAAAAACTGATCGTTTTAAAGTCATTTTTTGTGTTTTCTTAAAGTTATTTGGCCATGGTAACCATCTTGAAATGGAGTGGCTCCATGAGCACCTGGTGATTCTGAGTTTCAACGTTGAAGAAAACTTTTTTTTCTCGAGAAGTGAGATAATTCAGAATTCTGAAATGGGTTTCCCTGGGAATGTTATGTACTTTTTTACTGAATGCATTCAGTACCTTTAGTAGCTTGCTTGTTGAATATAGCTAACCCTAACCCTGTAGTGTGCTGTTAGCCACCATGCTGCATGTTGTTCATAGAGTCTGTTAATGGATGTTTTTCATTTAAATATCTGCTGTAGCTTCCTCAGCTCCATTTTGCTTTGTAATATTCATCACATATGATAATTCTCATGGTTCATTCTGCCTATTTTATGTTATATTATAATGGTTAACAATGTAACACAATGACAATTTACTCAKAGCTGTTTCTGTTATTGTTGACAGGAAACCACACACACATGCACACATACATTTTACCTACGTTTTACCTTCGTGGAGAGATACCTGTACCCCTGTTCACCGCAACTGTTCTAAATAGAGAAGTTAAACGGAAATCTGCATAGTGTCCTCCTGGTTACTCTGCTGAAGTGTGAACCATTTGAGATGAGATCCTGTACCATCCTGGCCTTGAAGTAGTGTTCTGGCCGACACTCCATGTTGAGAGCTGTGAGAAAACACAACTAGTGCCTTCCAGTCTTAATACAAGAGAGTTATCTCACCTACATTGATGGTCAAACAATGGTTGTCATATACAGCACGAGTTTGGATAAACAGTTTGCTGGGTATTGAGATATTTCAGCAGGAACTGTCTCTAGGCTGCACCAGAAATGCTGCAGCTAGTGGCTGCTGCTGTCACTGCCATTTACTAGACTCTTCAGGGGACGCCTGATCCAGGCAGCCTAAACATGTATGTTTTTGTGCTGTGGGAGTAAACTGGCGTGCTCAAAGAAAACCCACAAAAACACAAGGAGAACAAATAAAACACCTCACAGAAAGACGTCGGGTTCAACCTGGAGCTTGCACCCAGAACCTTCAACAGTAACCACAGTAACCACCAGGAAAACCAGTGTTTTAAAAAACGCAATCTAACTAAACCTAGCACAGCAAGTAAGGAAATTAGTGTTTGTTAGAATGTTTTTTTGTTGTTGTAACAATGCTTTGAGCAATAAATCTTATACCATTGGAAATGGAACATGCAACTGTAGGATGAGCTGGGTATGTGGATTGTGCACATGAACGATTTGCTAAATCTTCTCTGCCAAACAACCGATTTTGTTATTATTGACACTTGTTTGAAATTCTGGTAGCCCCAAGTTCTGCCAGTGAGGTGATGATATAAGATTTATTGCCAAGAAGCATTCTTACTACAAAGAAATAATTTGCCAAACACAAATGTCCTTACTTTTTGTGCTAATAATAATTATTAATAATTTTGTTCGTGGCCCTGCTCAGACTAGTCACTGGCTCTTCAGTCTGGTCAGAAATAACTTTTATTTCTCTAAACTGAGGTTGTTCATGAAGGTGTCTACAACAGGTAGGATAGTAGCTGTTCATGACTTCTGGACAAAATTTCCACTTCAAAAGGTTTGAACTGTCTCTTGAAGACTTCAGCTTGTTTCAGCACAGCTCTTTGTGAACACACAGTACAGACTTGTTAGCTGTTTGCTGTCCCAGTGTCAAAACAAAATGGGGGCAACTAGGACTTTTGACAGCTGGTGTTTTCATKTCTGCTCTTCCTGGTTCTCTTATTTAACCAGGCAAATCCCATTTTGCAAGAGAGGCCTGGATCTGCAGGCAACCTATTGTGCCTGTTTTTGGTCTGTGTGGGAAACCGAAGTGCCTGGAGAAAAAAACATACAAGCATAAGGAGAACATGCAAACTCTGATACAAAAAGACCCTAGGTGCGAACTGGGAATCAAACCCAGAACCTTCTTGCTGTGGGGCATCAGTGTGTACCAGTGAGCCATTGTGCTGTCTTGCTTTAGCCGAGTTCTTGCTTGGCTAGAGCAACAAAATGACAAGTCATCATCAGCAAATGACTTATTTGGAGAAGAAGTAGAGAAGAAATGATGCCTCCACTTTGGAGTGCATTGCTACTGGCCAATCAAATGCATTTCAGTACTGACCTCCATTAGGACGTTCCTTTGCTTTCCAAAAGATACAGAGCTAAGCAACATCACTCAGGCCTGTTGGCTTGTTGGAGCATTGTGTGCAAAGCTTCAGATTTGTTTGAACTTGCATAATCCTTCTCTCTGCAGAGACAGATGGACTGGGAACTGTATTTTGGCCACACTGTGTAGTGCAAAATGGGATGTTCAGTGATTTTTTTTCCTTGCTTTACAATCCATCACTAGCTCAGACATGGCCAAGACCTTTAGCCGTGAACAAAATAGTGTGTTATGAAAAAACATGTTTTCAGAAGTTTGTGCAAGATGCATGACACATCGTATAAACCAACAGAACAGAACAGAAGGTCACATGGCACTGCACACTTACCCAAATGTTGTGAAACTTACGTCCTAAAAATGCTTGTGTGCATAACGGTATATATATTTAAACAAATACAAAACATTTAAAACGAACAACAAAAACTAAACCCTTGCTTTAGCAAATTGAATGTTAAATGGCCTGAACTTATGTATCACTTTATCAAGTCCCTATGAATTCGAAAGCATCTCACACTAAAGACATTCACCCATTCATTTTCATATTTACAAAGTGATGGTGGWAAGCTACATTGTAGCCACAGCTGCCACACTGACAGAGCACCATGCACCAGCGCAACTGGGCACTCTGACCACCATCAGTAGGCAAGGTGGGTGAAGAGTCTTGCCCAGTTGGGAAAAACGACATAGAAAGATGGAACTGGGGACTGAAACAGCAACCCACTGGTTACAGGACAACTCCCTTAACCTCAGTCGCCCCAAAGTGCAACGGCATAAGATGCTTTGAGGGCCGACTCCTGTGTGATTGTGGTTCTGGTAAAAAAAAAACATGCTGTTATGTATTTGTGACTTTAGCAAACTTCTCATATTTAGCTTTGTGCAAGGTGGTGTTGTAGTGATGTTGTAGTGACTTCTAATGAAATCCTACATGGCAGACAGCATCTCTAAGCTGACTAAAGAC